AAACTTTGTAAATATTTCTTTAGATAAATATGTCTTTTAGACAAGGTGCAAAAACGTATTGTAAACATAGTCGGATCTGCCCTTGCAGCCAACCTTCAACCTTTGTCACATCGCCGTAATGTTGCTTTCTCTTTCTCTTTTCTACAAATACTATAATGCTCTAAAGAGCTAGCGTCTCTTGTGCCATCTACTAAAATTCATTCTCGTGTTACTCGTCATTCAATTAAATCTTATCATTTTTCTGTTACTGTTTCTAGTGCTCCAAAAACTTTTATTCGTCTAGTTTTTTTCCTCGAACATCAGTTTTTTGGAATTCGCTTCCTTCATCTTGCTTTCCTGACTCATATAATTTGCAATCTTTTAAGTCGTCTATCAATCAATATTCTGCTCTATAATCTTCATCTTTTCTCTTCCAGTAACTTCCAACACTAATTAGTGGTTGCTTGCAGCCTTGTTGGAAGCGAAGATGTTAAAAAAAAAAAAAAAAAAAAAAAAAAAGTACACTCCACTGCGCCTGGCCCTATTTTATTCAGTCGATGTATGCATACTCTACTGCGCCTGTCCTTATTTTAGTCAGTCGAAGCATGAATCACAGCCCCTGTTTCTATTTATAGTTTAAATTTAGTTTTTTTTTAAATTTTTTATTGTATATATGTATCACATATATAACTTACGTATGTCTTGCCTACCAAAATTGTTTTTCATACTCCGGTGTGGTACGGTGTTGTTCCAGTGTGGTCCAGTGTAATATTCGTATACACCAAAGTTACCCTACCTCTTTTAATCTATAATTTTTTTACTTCTATAAAAAGTTCTTTTTATTATCTTTTATCTTTTAGTAACCTTAAATTATATTTAAAATTAAAATTATTTATCCTAAATCATTATTAAGTTAAGTACAGCATAACAAATCACATAAAATAATGGAATAATTTACCATTTTTTATTCATGGAATAATTTGTTTTTTTATATTAACTGCAAATAACTAAACTTTACTACTAAAACTCTTTTTTAGGCCTTTTTTTTTGGGGAGATACTGTTTGTAAAATGTTGGACTCAATTTGGGTTTTTATTATTATTGCTTTTGGTATGATTATATGTAATATAAATATTAACATTGTTTACTATTATTCATATCATTATTACTTATTTATATTGTTTAATATTAATTTTAATATTTATCAATATTTTAATTACTTTATCATTGTTATTATTATGTGAATTACATTTATTAATGCAAATATTATTGTAAACATTACTATTATTGTTATTTTCTTCATTATAATTGTTTTAATATTATTGCTATTATTATACAACTGTTTTTTTACTTTAGGTTGGTACTAGTACTATTTCTAAATATCCATTAAATGCATGTGTATTTTGCATACTGTAATCATATTGAGTTTAATGTTACAGGGTTCCGTGATGTCGAATGGTTTGAAATTTAAGTGCGTTTATATTTGATAATTGTTGTTAATATGTTTGTACGGTTTTGTATCTAATTGCTAATGTGTTCATATGGTTTAGGTGAAGTTGTAAATATGTTAATGTGGGTTGTAATTGTAGTATTTGAGGTATATGTTTTCGTATAAATTGTAATTATAATTTTGTAAGAGGGAAGTTCTTATTGAGTAAAGAAAAAAAAAATCTTGACTTAATGTTATATTTCTGAGAAAAAACTACACATACATACACACACACACACACACACACACACATATATATATATATATATATATATATATATATATATATATATATATATATATATATATATATATATATATATATATATATATATATATATATATATATATATATATATATATATATATATATATATATATATATATATATATATATATATAGATATGTGTGTGTGTTTTCTTTTTATAAATTGCAAGTTTCCAGATACATGCAAAGTAAAGTAAGAAAAGAAAACATTACTTTTCAATTTGTAAATTTAATATTAATAATTAATTTTATTTTTTTACATTTTTTTATCCTTATTTTTATAACATGATCAATTAAAAAGCACCAGAACAAAGTTCTGGTGTATTTTAACTGATTTAAATACAGCATTTAAATTCATTAACCTGGGTAAATAAATTTTCATAGAAGAGAGTTGATAGAATTGCAATAGTTTTAGAAAAATATCCATGTTTCTTTAATGTGACGGTGGTAAGATTTTTTTATTTTTCATTTGTGATTTCATACTTTTATTGGAAAAACTTTAATAGTGTTTAGTTTCAATTCTACCATGTCCTCAAATGGGTTGTTCTATAACTTTTCTCTGCTTTTTAAAATTGTAGGCTTTTTTTTATTATTATTTAATTCAGAATGTTGCCGAGATAGCTCATAAAGTCTTCTCTCACAGTTGACTCAGCAAGAGTCAGCTTGACTGAAGACATTAACACACTTTTACATTATGGAATACACAAGTTGGTAGCCACCCCCGCCCCCCCCCATCCTCTTCTCCTTATGCCACCCAAATACAGGTAAGTATGTATGCATACACAACCCTCAGAATTAGTAAAACTAATAAATTAAATTAATAAAACTATACTAAATTAATTAAACTATATTAAATTAATAAAACTAATAAAAAATTAATAAATTAGTAAAACTAATGAATAAGTAATAAATTGCCGACGTCAAACTGTTTTAGGTTGGCATCAGATTACAATTGGCAAACATAAAACTATTTTCACAAAGCTTTCATCATAAAAGATAAAAACGAGGTCAGCAAAATATTGCCTACCTCAGGCACTTTTAGGTTTTTGCTTGGTTAGGGTTAAGGTTAGGTAAAATAATGTATTAAAATCAATTTATAATTAAATAAGGAATGTGTTTTTAGATACTATACTGTAACAATTACTTCATTAAATGTATAACTTAAGTTAAAGCCTTAATGAAGTAACTGCTGCAATTATTCCCAAATAAAAGTTCTAAAAAAAAAAGACTAAAACTGGACATATTATTTTTAAAAAAGCTGTAAGTTTGTATGATTTTTTGAAAACACTTGAATATATATATATATATATATATATATATACATATACATATAAAATGATATTATTGTTAAATTTTAGGAAACTTTATATTGAACATAGATTTGAAGACGATGAAGACAAGACGATTGTTATGTGTGGAGAAAGATTATTTTATAAAGTTCTTCATTTTCTGACGTCGTGATTGGACTTATTGGAATACACTTGTCATGGATATGGGAAGAGTATTGCCGCTACAAGCATGAACATTAACTAGACATTCCAAAGAACAATTAGTTATTTTAACAATTAGAGTTGTTGTTTAAATGTATAAATGCTTTTTGAATATTCTTATTTTATATCATCCTAATTTCAAAATAATGTTTTACTTTTTCCATAGAAAAAGTAGTCTTGTTATATTGTGTTATAGTTCACGGAAAATATTATTGAAACAAGAAAAAAGATTTTTTTTTTATAAATATAATTTCTTGAAACAAGAAAAAAATATCTAATTTTAAGAATACAAGTTCTTGAAATAAGAAAAAAAAATCTTATTTTAAGAATATCAATTCTTGAAACAAGAGAGAAAATTCTTGTTTTAAGAATAAAATTTCTTGAAACAACAAAAAAAAAATATTTAAGAAAAAAAGTTCTTAAAACAAGAAATAAAATTTTTATTATAAAAATAAAAACTCTTGTTTTAGGAATAAAAATTCTTGTTTTAAGAATAAAAAGTCTTGAAACAAGAAAAAATATATATTTAAGAAAAAAAGTTCTTAAAACAAGAAAGAAAACTCTTTTTTTAAGTATAAAAATTTTTGTTTTAAGAATGAAAAAATCTTAAAACAAGAAAAAATATTTAAGAAAAAAAGTTCTTAAAACAAGAAATAAAATTCTTATTTTAAGAATGAAAATTCTTGTTTTAAGAAAAAAATATTCTTACTTGGCGGACAAGTTTTTTTTTTGCTTGTTTTAAGACTTTTTTTGCTTAAAACAAGAATCTCGGATTTTGCTGTGCAATATTCCTTCAAAAAGAACTAAATAATATTCCTGATTTTGTATCACTGATTGGGCAGACTCCTGGCTACTGTTTGACTTACTCAAAATGAAACATAACTAAGTGAATTGGTTTCAACTACCTGTTGAACATTGGACAAAGAAGAAGGACTACAACTGTGTTAAAAAAGTAGTTGAGTTTTTAGAAGTGGGTAATGACTGCGCTGAAGGAGGAGTCAAGCTGATCTAAGACTTTAAAAACAAAATTAAAGATCCAAAGCAGTTACAATACGCATTTCATATCGTTGATAATTATCGCAAACAGGTGTCTCTCGTTGAAAAATAGGAGAAATTAAATAACATAGCTCCTTTTTACCATTGTTTTAGGCAACTTTGTACATTAGTAACATTATTTCTGCCCCGTGTAACCTTAAATATTTTTCTTTCAGCCCAGTTTTTTACCTGTAATACTTTAATGAAAAATTATATACTAAAGGTTCTTGAATGAATTTTAAAATTTTGAAAAATAGGCGCAAAAACTACAATTTACTAAAATTAGATAACCGTAGTTATATACCAAATTAGGTAACCCTAAGTAATGTTTGATTATCCAAAAATTTAACAATATTTTTTAATATTTACGCACCTCATATAAAAAGTTTAACTCAAAATTAAAATAAAATGCGGAAACGGGACACTCTAGGGTATGAAGCACATAAAAAAAATTAGTATTTGACAATCTATCCAACAAAACTCCTGGCATAAATTACCTACAAAAACAAAAAAATACATACATATTTTTTGTGTTATTTAGGTGCCCCAAGAAGACCTAATGATCTTGTCACAGAACACCGCGGAAGTTCACGCTTCCTTCTTACCGTAACGCGAAAACATGTCTAAAGCTTGTTTCGAACCTGGATCTCCTGCTTATAAAGCAAGCGCTCTAACCACTGCGCCACGGCCGCATATATTGCATATTCACTTTAAATATTTGCGTGTAAATTGAAAATTAATTGAAAAGTTAATCTCTTATTATATCAAAATATAAATTAACTATATACAAAATGATGAAAGACTTAGCGACAGTTATTCTAAAATACAAAATGATGTCAACAGTTGCATAATGCAACTTATGTTAAGATTCACCTATATACTGCACGACGTTTGATTGTTCAGAGACCAAATGATCAATAGTATGCTGGCTAACTGTTTCAGAGTCACTAGGTAATTTTTTACGAGTCGATTTCCTGGGTTCGCCAGTATGCAACTTCATATGTTCTAAATAAGACAACCGCCAGCTAGTTCTCATTCCGCAAAAATCACAAACAAAACGTCTTTTCTCGTTGTGAGAACCGTTTACATGCGCACTTAACGCCGATCGCGTTTTAAATAGTTTATCACAATGTGAACATTTTAAATCACGTTCACTCGTGTGTGTTTTTAAGTGTTTTAATAAAAAATCTTTGCGGTTAAATTTTTTGCCACAAACGGCGCAGTTGTGCGCCATCGGATGTCTATGATAATGGTGGACGTGTTGAGCAAGGCTGCTTTTAGAACTATAAGCCTTGCCGCATTCTTTACAAACGGCTGTTTTTGCGGCGTGCTTTGCTTTCATGTGTTTGTCTAAGCCTCCTTGATCACTGTACGTGAAGTTGCACAAGTTGCAACGATAATTAAATTCTGTATTTTCATCTAGCTCTGAGTCTGTTTCGCCATCGTTAAGGCTTGCTTGGAAAGATTCTGCATCGTTAAATGAAACGTTTTCTGGTTTTAAAGCAAAAGGTACGGAGCCATTCGCAAACCCAGACCTTTGAGCGTTTTCTAAAACAGCAGTTGTGCAATAAGTGACGTCCGAAGTTTGTAAAATAAATGTCGCAGTGTTACCAGATACTAAAACATATTTTAAAAACAATATATTTAAATAAAGAACAAATTCAATGTCAATCCAGGATTTTTTTTACTTTACTACTAACCTACCGGCTTGACCCTGACAGTCAAAGGATGCAGGCTGAATGCTGTAGTAACCTTAAAAAAAAAGAAAATAATAAAAAAAACTTTTTTATATTTAAATTTTACTTACTTTTAAAAAATGTATTTCAGTTTTTTAAATTTTTGAAAAATAAAAATCATAAAATCTTAGCCCTCTACACAAAAGTACAAAAATGCGTCTTTAAAATACCTCTTGGATGTTTCAAAGTGTTGTGTTGGTAAATGGACATTTTACATTTAAAAAGGTTTTCATACTTGCTATTTATAGTTATAACAAAAAAACTCAACAAAAAATCCCAAAAAAGAGTTTTCCAAAGAGGCTTTCTAAAATTTGTATAATCTGCTTAAAATATTTTACCATAAAATTGCAACAACAACAGCCTAAATAAGACGTAATATTTTACCCTTTAATTATAAAATAACTTATCTTTTTTTAAAATTTTTTAAAATTTCAAAAGTTAAACATTTCGGGGAAATTTTCAACCCTAATAAGTATACATAGCTAAAACATTGTTAAACATTTAATTTACATAGTAGAAAAAATATAATAACGCCCCTATCAGGGTGTAGTTACTATTTGGAGTATTACATAACAACATCACATTATTAAATAATACAAAGATGTATTATACTATATTATATATACTGTATAATATTATACTATATTATATAATGTACTATTTTATAGAATACATACCAGTCTGCTCCTCATTTACTGTGTCGTTCTAGGTGAAAAAATTTCAAATATAAACAAATTTTAAAGTAACTAAAAAAAATCATTAATTATTTGGTATATTAAACAACTTTTTTTTTGATGAATTCCCAACAAAGGTGTTTGGAACCACTAATTTAGTTGGGATTTAACAGAAAACAAAAAAAAAATTTTAAGAGATCGTTTTTATATTTTGTTTATATCGTTTTTATATTTAGGAATATTGAATGACTTTAAAAGGCTGTTGACTGTTGTATCACTTACATTAATGTATGATTTTTTAAAATGAATTATCATCAGAGTTACCTGCAGTGGTAGTGTATTGGTGTATGTTGTTGGTCAAGTAGTTATCGAGTAAATTTTATTGATAGCTGGATTCACAAAACAAATGCAACCTAATCAAAAATCCAGCCATAAATAAAATTAACCGCAACTGCCTTAACAAAAACAATTGCCTTTTAATTTTTTTTTTAAATAGTTGTTATATCCTCCAAACTTCAAGTCTCAAGACTTGAACTTTGACAAACTCTAACACTATATCACTACCTACAGTGTTAAAGATTTAGTGCATTTCAGATAAAGTGCATTCAAATAATTGCTTTCACTAGTTGTACTTGAGTACTAACCAAAATTTAAAATTTGTTTACAAAAAAAATTATTCCTAGATTTTAAGAAAAAAATTTCAAAAATTTTGCTTCAACTTATAATTTTATATAATTTTTATAATTTTGATAATACAATTAAGTTTTTAAACTTGTGTATTTTAATTCTATATTTTTTTTATATATTATTTAAATTTTTTTTATAAAATTCATTAAATAAAACTAATATTTGATTAAAAATTGAATTCAAAGTTCAAAAATAAATAATACTAAAACCAATGAAATTTTTATTGAAAAAAAGATAATTTCATTACTGTAGTGATTCCTGTTGAGTCATTACTAGCTTCTAAACTTAGATCATCTACCTAAGTACAATAAAAATAAGTTTGAATTGATTTATTAACATAATGTATAAGAAAAAAAATAATCTATTGTATATAAATAAATGTAAACCATAAGCAAAACACAAGTAAGCAATAAAAATTCATTATATATATATATATATATATATATATATATATATATATATATATATATATATATATATATATATATATATATATATATATATATATCTATATATATCTATATATATCTATATATATCTATATATATCTATATATATCTATATATATCTATATATATCTATATATATCTATATATATCTATATATATATATATATATATATATCTATATATATCTATATATATATCTATATATATATATATATATATATATATATATATATATATATATATATATATATATATATATATATATATATATATATATATATATATATATATATATATATATGTATATATATGTATATATATATATATATGTATATATATGTATATATATCTATATATATATATATATATATATATATATATATATATATATATATATATATATATATATATATATATATATATATATATATATATATATATATATATATATATATATATATATATATATATACATATATATAGTGGGCAAAATAATTGTCCGCACATTAATGAAAAGTATCTATATTTGATTAAAACAACATTCAAAAGTATTTAGATAGTTGTAATTAAGAGTTTTTAAAGAAATATTATAATATTAAAGTAATTTTAAGTGTATTAGTTAAAAATATATTAATATATGAAAAGTTATATAAGTTTATTTGAAAAAAGTTAAAAGTTTAAACAAAAAAATTGTCCGTACACTATGGTAATTTTTAAATTAAAATTAGTTAAAATTAAATTAATATCTTGTTGGACCACCATCAGCTTCAATAACTGCTCTACAACAATTTTTCATTGATGAGACAAGTTTAGATATAATTTCTTGATTAATTGATGACCAAACATCTAAAACCAATTCTTTGAGCTCGTTTTTATTCTTTGGAGCTCGATCTTTCATTCTTTTTTTCACCACCGACCATAAATGTTCACAAATGGTTCAAATCGGGCGATTGTGCAACCCAATCCAACACATTATTGCCATTTACAGCAAGATATCTGGTTACAGATCCAGCTTTGTGCTTTGGACTGCTGTCATGTTGGAATATAAATTCCGTTTTCCTAATTTTCCAAGTCCTAATTTTCCTGCTGAAGCCACCAAATTCCGTTCTAATATGGATCTATATAAGTGTTAATCCATTTTCTCATCAATAAATTCAATTTTGCCAACACCAGACGCACTCATGCAGCCCAAAACCCATAACATTTCCACCACCAAATTTAAATGTTGCCTTCAAACACTTCACATTAAATTCTTCTCCGACTCTTCTATAAACTTTTGCACCACCATCAGCTCCATATAAATTAAATTTACTCTCGTCTGACCAAATAATCATATTCCAGAATGTATCATCTTTCAGAACATGTTCCTTTGCCCACTGCAACCGTTTTCTCTTGTTCACTATGCTGATGAATGGTTTTCTCCGAGACGCCCGTGCAAAAATATTTGCTTCATGCAGTCTCGATTTTCCCAATTATGCACCTGTCAACTCTTGGCGTTGTTGATCTTTTTCTGCCTTGTACACCATTATTTGCCACTGATTTTTTTTTTAAATACTTTTCCCATATATATTGAACAGAGCTTGGTGGTATTTTCAACATTTTTTCAACTTTTCTAATTGATAATCCATTTTCCCTATTAAAAATTACTCGTTTATGTAAGTCTATATTCTTTTCTTTTTCCTTTCATCATAGCCACGTAGTTAAGAAAAGGTTTATTTTTATTCATTATAGTATTATTTAACCTAAAAGTACAAGATATTAATATAAAAATCATTTATAAACAAAATTTTACCTTTTAAATCAAATGTACAGACAGTTTTTTGGTTTTAAAATTTTTAAAACTTTTAAATAAGTTAATTATAATTTAAATTGTCGGGAGATAATTAAAGATGGTGTATTGTTTTTATTTGTTTTCTTGTGCGCTATCTATTGGTTTAATTTGTTTTTTTTTATCATTTAAAGTTTTAGAGCTTTTTTCAAAAAACCTTATTTTTCATTAATGTACGGACAATTATTTTGCCCACTGTATATATATATATATATATATATATATATATATATATATATATATATATATATATATATATATATATATATATATATATATATGTATATATATATATATATATATATATATATATATATATATATATATAATCTATTATTGCTATGGCTATTGTTGTCTAATATATTAACTTTCAAACAAGAACAAACATGCATTTACACATAATTAACATATTTACATGTATGTATAATATATTTACACATTTAATACTTTATTACTTATAAAAATATAACCTGGTCTTTATTAGCTTCATTTATACCAACCCCAATATCAGCTATATCTTCTAAGACTATATTATGTTTTATCTATAAAGAGATTTACATTGTTGACATCAAATAAAATAAAATTTTGGTGAAAAAAAGCAATATCAGCTATATCTTCGAAGACTATATTATGTTTTATCTATAAAGAGATTTACATTGTTAAAATTTATGAAAAAAATAAAGGTACCCTTCTTGCAACTTTTCTTTTTGCTTTTTTGGTTAACTTTTTTTCTTCTCCAAGTTTTGTCACTTTTGATTGATTTAATGTGTCTTTTGTTTCATTCTGAATATGTAAGTCAACTTATTAAAAACAGATAAATACAAAATCAATTTTTTTTTTTTTCTAATAAAAAAAAAAAATTAAATCAAATATCAATAACAAACAGCTCTAATTAATAAAATAAAAAAACAATTAAAGAAATACTATAAGTTTATATATTAATAATTAAAAATAATATAAATTGTATAATAATATTTTAAACAGGCTTGGATAATAAAATTTATACTATTCTTTAAGATTTTTCGTCCAACCTTTTAAAAAATTCATAAATCATTCTCCTTCATATAATATACTTACATTTGAAGTTCGAATACATAGATCAAGATACTTTTCTTTCCATGACAATCTTTCTTCTTGAGAACGTTGAATTTCCAACTTTAAATTCCAAACAATCTGAAAAAAAACATTTACAAAATTTGTTAAGAAATATAGCATACACAAGTCTTTTAAATCAAATTTTAGTTTATATACTATATTTTCAATGATCTAGATCCGTTCATAGTTTTTTTTTTTATAAATTTTCAAAAGTTACCTATTTTTTATTTGGGCCTTAAAAGAAAATATTAAAAATTAAAAGAAAAAAAAATGCTTAAAAGAAAATATTAAATTAAAATCTTTTTATATTAATTTCTTTTTATTCTTTAAAACTAATTTAAATTTTCAGACATCAATAAAAAGTAGTGGGTGCACCGATGCATCAGCATTAGCCTGCCAATGCATCGACATCAATCTTGGTCCATAAGTGAAAATGCATGAATGAGCATGAATAATAAATTATTATATAAACATGTCTACAACCACTAAATCTTTAAATATTTTTTGAATTATTTTTTATCAGGAGCTGCCTGCAATTAGTGTATTTTTATAATTTAGGAAAGTAATTATGTATCTTATGACTTATGTATCCAAACTATACAAAGAGATTTAAAATCAAGATATGTAAAATGTAAAATGTAAAAATGTAAAAATGTAAAAATGTAAAATGTAAAAATTTTCTGCCAGATTGCTCCTCTTTTTGATATTTTTATTTTGCAAAATTTACAAATTGCTTTGAACATTTAATTTCATCTATATCAAAATAGTCTATCAGACTTTTAGTTGCTTTGCTCATTGTTACTTTATTTCTTATTTAATTTCATTTCTAAGTTTAATTCCTAGAATATAGTTAGAAATTTAAATATACAAGCCCAATTTTTTAAAGATTCTAATTTAAATGTTAAATAAAGTACATTCTGTGAAATACTAGGTTTAAAAATCCATTTAAAAAGATTTTTTCTTGTAGAATTACCTTGTGGTAATACTACAAGAAAAACTCAATTGATTCTTAAGAATGCAGTCATGTGTCACTAAAACAATAGCTAAGTGGAAAAAAAAACATGTAGCGCATTAGATAAAATCAGATCCAAAAGACCCAGATATAACACTGATGATAATAATATATACAGAATTGCCAGAAAAAATTCTAATTATAGTGCCAAACAAATTGCTCAAGAAATAAATCTTTTAAAAATGACATCTCAATACAGACAGTAAATAAAAGATCATTTATCAGATAGTAAATAAAAGATTAACTCTCTTATACTGTTAGTAGATATCTGTAGATATCTTTTTACATATTTTTATTTTCAAAATAAAATTTTTGATCACTGTTGAATGTCTAAATTTTTGATCACTGTCGAATGTTTCAGAAATGAGGGTTTTAAAGTATGACTTTACTATAAGAACAACTTTGATAATATTTGCATCCTTGATAGAAATCCTAAAATCATTATTTTTAATTCAGTGTTCTGACAACAAGACATTCAAAAACTATTTCATTAGGTTAAACATTTAAACGAAATGCAAAGAATTTTATATGTCTTAATATTACTGTGTACATTTTAATCAATCATTTATATGTATAATTTCTTTAGGTTATCCAGTTTAGATTTATTATCGCTTATTGATTAAGATACCCTGTATGAAATTGTTGTTTTAGGTTGAAAAAAATTTGTTAAAGTAGAAAAAGTGTGTCTAATAGTGCTATAGTACAGAAAAAGTGTTTAAAAGTTTTATATATATATATATATATACATATATATATATATATATATATATATATATATATATATATATATATATATATATATATATATATATATATATATATATATATATATATATATATATATATATATAGAATTTTTTGATGAATCTTTGTTGATGAAACACAGTGTAAAATGAAAAAAAAAAAATTTGTTAAGTGATTTTTTACTAATTTATAATTGCTCTGTTCTTATAAGAACATTGAGCACTCTATTTTGTAGAATAGTTTAAATATATCTATATCTATATATATATATATATATATATATATATATATATATATATATATATATATATATATATATATATATATATATATATATATATATATATATATATATATATATACATATAAAAATATATATATATATATATATATATATATATATATATATATATATATATATATATGTATATATATATGTATATATATATATATATATATATATATATATATATATATATATATATATATATATATATATATATATATATATATATATATATATATATATATTTATATATACAGGGCCTATTCTAGAAAAAAAAATATGGGTGGCGGTTCCCCCTTACTTTGGCAAACATTAGTGGAAAATTAGCATTTTTTCGCAAAAAAAAATTGCCATAAAAGCAAAAATTTACAAAAACATATTAGGGACACCCTAATCTATATATTAGGGTAATATATAATATATATCCTATATACTAAGGACACCCTAATATATAGAAAGTATTACCTAAATATTAGAAAAGCAAACAATTATCTGATTTTTCAAACTTTGATTTATTTTTCAAGTTTTTGAATTTGACAAATTTTATTTAAGAACTTATTGTTACAGAAAGTAACATTTTTCTAAGCAATCGCATAGACAAAGCGAACATTTCGGGTTTGAAATTTCTTTGCTCAAAAATAACACCTATTTTTGTAAAAAGAATCACTGGAAATAATTTTTAACAATTAAATATTTTAACATATTATTTGATAAACAATAATATTTGTCAAACAATAAAATACTTCAAATTATAAATTTTACTCATTTTATGCAAAAAAAATTGTGTTGAACAATGTTACCATGGAAACTTTGGTTGAAAATACTTTAATTGAGAGTATTTGAATAGTTCAAAACTCTTTTCATGGTTCTTTTTAATAAAACACTTTTTAATAAAACACTTTTTAATAAAACACTTTTTAATAAAACACTTTTTAATAAAACACTTTTTAATAAAACACTTTTTAATGAAACACTTTTTAATAAAACACTTTTTAATAAAACACTTTTTAATAAAACACTTTTTAATAAAACACTTTTTAATAAAACACTTTTTAATAAAACACTTTTAGTTTTTGGCTACAACTATTCATTGACTCCCACCTTTAATTGTTTAATTCTTATAAAATAAATTTCTTTTTTTGTATTTATATGTTTTGGTCCTTGCTCAGCTTTTTTTTTTTAAACTTCCATAAGAGCTGCATGTGCGTATTCCATATATTATTTCCATAAGAGCTGCATGTGCGTATTCCATATATTATTTCCATAAGAGCTGCATGTGCGTATTCCATATATAGCATAGCAGTTCTTATCTTCTTGACAAAAAGATTTTTTAAAACACAGATCTTATTTTCTTGTAGTACATAAAAAAAAATTTGCATAGCAATTCTTATCTTTTTGACAAAAATTAAAAAAAAAAACTTGCATAGCAGATCTCAGCTTCTTAATATATTCCTAATTAAAATTTGTAGTACTTTTTAGTTTAAGTCACAGAAAAAAAAAATTGCTTATATTTAATATGATAATATTAGTTTGCTGATTCGATATTATCTTGAGGGTCTTCTTAAGAGTTCTTAATATAGTTTATTGTATGTCTACTGACTTTCTATGCAAGTCAAATTATATTAGTAAATCAATCAATGAAATTAAAACAAAAAATATTTTGTAAGTTTTTATTTATTTTTGCTTCAATAACAGATGTGTCATTTTTATTACTTTTAAAAAAGATTCAATTTAACTTACATCTGTGAAACCATTTACATAAATTATCTACAGTAAGGAGATCTATCATACAGTCAAAATTACTGAAGTTCATTAAAACTATAGTACAGTCAATACTTCTGAGGTTCATCAAAACTATTAGTTCTAATTATTTTGGTGACTGTTGTTAGTATGAAGAATTTTTATTATAGTCCAGTAAAAATCTATATCCAAGTTTTTTTGTAATAAAGAATACTTTTGTTTCAAAACTTTTAAATCATAAAAACAAACCTCCTTATGACGCAATGTTTCTCGTTGAATATGTTTTTCCAAATTTTCTTTATCCATGCGATTTTGATTAAACTCTTGATTTATCTAGAAAATTATTTGATTTTGATGGCACACACACATATCTATATCTATATCTATATCTATATCTATATATATATATATATATATATATATATATATATATATATATATATATATATATATATATATATATATATATATATATATATATATATATATATATATATATGTATATATATATATATATATGTATATATATACATATATATATATATATATATATATATATATATATATATATATATATATATAATATATATATATATATAAATATATATATATATATATATATATATATATATATATATATATATATATATATATATATATATATATATATATATATATATATATATAGGCCTGTAAATCGAGCCGAACAAGCCAAGCTTGCCAGGGCTCGGCTCGGCTTGGCTCATTTACATATTAAGAGTGCTCAGGCTCGGCTCGAGCTTGTTTCGAACATGAGATTCTTTGTTCGAGCTCGGCTTGTTAAGGATTAGTATTGTTTGAGCTCAGCTTGTTTTACATGTTGCTCGAGCTCAACTGGTTTAAAACTCTAATTTAATTTGTAATTAAATTGTTTATATTAATCAATTATTTAGTGTAATAAGAGTTATATGGGTCATATCTCATATGGTTACACTAACACTATATTTTTATTATATACTAATATATATAATATTACAATTTTATTTATTACATATATATTATTAAATATAAATAAAGAAATATATATATATATTCAAACTTTAATCGAGCCTATATGAACAAGCCTATGATGTTCAAGCTCGGCTCGTTTAATAAACCAGCCTAATTTTTTGTTCAAGCCCGGCTTTGTTTTTAGCATTGTTTGATGTTGGTTGCAAAACTTTTGCAACCAACATCAAACAATGCTAAAAAGTGTTCCTAATTTTACATGTCTTAAAAACGAAATGAACTATACGACCACAACAAACAGTTCAGGAGTCTGGAGTCAAAGCATGCCATGACATGAGCAATCAGTTGACAGGTGGCAGCACACAAGCAGAATTTCGTTGACAAGTGCCATTTTGCAGCGGACAAAACAAGTGCAACTTTTTTGGTTTGTTTCATTTTCTTAAGTGTGGTCCGAGTCAATGTCACAGAAGTTTTTTAATAATTAAAGAAAGTATCTAGAAGTTTCCAGAAGCTTCCAGAAGTTTCCAAAAGAAGTATCTGGAAGCATCCAGAAGTATCCAGAAACATTCAGAAGCATCCAGACGCATCCAGAAGCTTCTAGAAGCATTGAAAAGAAGCATTTAGAATCTTCCTGAACAGGTTCACACAGGTTCATTTTACTATATAAGAAACATGTAAACCAATGTAATTCAGTCAGTATATGGAAGTCAATCAGTCAGTATTATCAAGACAGTTTATCGAAGTGAGTCTTCAAAGCGTTTTATCAAAGAACATCAGCAGTTGGCAGCAGATAACAAAAGTGGAAGACCGCGTTCCACCACTTCTAGAGAGGATTTCTATGATCGTCAGATCCATCAAGAAGGATCACTGGATATCATCAGTCGAGATACAAAAGCAATTAGAGCTGTCTGTATCGGACCGAACAATCAGACAACGTGCTGTTGAAGCCGGATTGTTTTCTCGACGCCCTGCAAAGAAACCGCTAATTTCACTAAAGAACCAGAAGAAAAGACTCTGTTTGCTACATCTCATATTGACTGGAATGTGCAAAAATGGAGCTGTCCTTTTCAGTGATGAATCGAAGTTCAACATCATTTGGAGCAATGGCATTTGCCGTGTATGTCGACCAGCCGGAAAACGCCTCGATTTACGTTACTGCCATAAGACCGTGAAGCATGGTGGAGGCAATGTAATGGTCTTGGGGTGTTTTTCTGCTAACGATCAAGGTCCAATACATCGAATCGATGGAGTAATGGACTGTTTCATGTATAAAAATATCCTGAAAGATATTATGTTACCTCATGCTGAATGGAATATGCCAATAAAATGAATTTTTCAGCAAGACAATGATCCAAAACACACTGCAAAAGTAGTCAAGCAGTGGTTTCTAAACAACCACCTATCGGTGATGGATTGGCCGCCTCAATCTCCGGATCTCAACCCTATCGAGAACTTGTGGGAGAACTTGTCAACCACAGAATTAATTGTGAAGGTGTTCGTAATAAGCATCAACTGTTTGAACAAATCCAAAAGGCCTGGGCAGCGATTCCACAAAGTTTCATTAATCACCTGATCGAATCTATGCCTCGAAGATGCAAGGCTGCGATCAACAACAAAGGATTTTGTTTAATAAATGAATACTATATATTAAAATGTGTATATTTTGTTTTTTATAAAAATTATAAACCATTCTACTTTTAAATAAAGTATTGAACAAAACAAGTGCAACCAAATAATGCTAATTTAGTTTCTTTACATAAAAGTGCTGCATTTTTTAATTTAGAAAAAGAAACTAAATTAGCATTATTTGGTTGCACTTGTTTTGTTCAATACTTTATTTAAAAGTAGAATGGTTTATAATTTTTTTAAAAAACAAAATATTCACATTTTAATATATAGTATTCATTTATTAAACAAAATTTCAAAAAAAGTCAAATGAAACGCGAAAAAAATAATAGCAGAACAGCTTTATATTATGAGATCAATTGTTTTAAACATTTTACAATAAATATTAATTATTTCTTAACATATTAGTATTTTGTAGCGTGACCTTTATTGGAAATGATGGCAACACAACGTCTTGGCATCAAGTTAACCAAGTCCTGACATCGCTTTAGCGGAATTTCGCTGTCTCCTTAACTACGTTCCAAAGTGATTCCTTCGTGGTGGGTTTGGCAGCAGCACCAACCTCCTTTACGTCAGCCCACAAATTCTCAATTGGGTTAAGATCTGGCAACTGTGCTGGCCACACCATAACGTTCACTTTATGCTCCTCAAACCAATTTTTTACTTTCTTGCTAGTGTGCTTTGGGTCATTGTCCTGTTGGAACACCCAGGATGACGGCATTTCATAGTCTGCATACAGTAACATCACTTTATCCAATATATAAACATAAACTTGTTGGTCCATAATAGTAGTAATGTGATGAATGGGCCTTATTCCGTAATAAAAAAAGCATACCCATATCATTATACTACAACCTCCATGTTTAATAGTTTTGATGGTATATTTTGGATTGGATTCTGCATTCGGCGGTCTTCTGACATATGCCCGAGAGTCTTTTTCACCATAAACCACAATCTTACTTTCGTCTGCCCATAAAATATTTCTCCATTTTTTGAGTGGCCAATTTGAGTGTTTTTTAGCAAACGCAATACGCATGTCTACAACATGTAACAACAATACAACATGTCTGGCACTTAGAAGTGAAACTTTTCTGGGGCTACAGGCTTTTAATCCATTAACTCGCAGACAACTTTGAACTGTTTGTACTGTTGCATCAATGTGAAAGTCCTTTTTCAGCTCGGTAGCTGTTTTAAAAGGTTCCTTTTAAGCCTGTCGGACTAAGCAATTGGCCAGCAATGTTGAAATAAAACGTTTTGGACCACGTGTTTTAGGCTTTTCTGGAAATATTATGGCATTTCTTATCATTTTATTGGAACACTCAACTTAACAACCAACTTCTCTGTAAGATTTCCCTGCTGATATCAACTTTCAGATCAGTTCTCGTTTTCCTGCACTACAATGCTCTCCACGTTCCATTTTTATATGAAAATTCTTCCTACTAATACACACTAACATAAAACAAATAAAATAGCAAAAAAAAAAAACCAAAGCTTGCTATTTGCACAATTATTTTTACCGTTATCAGAGTATTTTACAACAAATGAGTGTGTGGTGCTATTTTATTTTTCGGTCAGAATTGGCACTTTTGATTAAAATCGAGCAACACCAAGCAGTTTTTTTCCAAAATGATTTGTTTTAGAAAATAAACATGTTAGCTAATATTTTAAACAGCTAAACTATAAAAAAAATTTATTTTGCATGGTATTTTTAAACAAAGAGGAAATATGCTTTGTGGTGCTATTTTATTTTTTGCAACTGTATGTGTGTGTGTGTGTGTGTGTGTGTGTGTGTGTGTGTGTGTGTGTGTGTCTGTGTAAATCCGGAAAATATTTTCAAAAAATATCTGGAAAATTCCAGAAAAAAAAAACAAATTTTGTGTTATTAAGAATATTTACATAATATCAACATTAATTGGACGCCAAAAATGTTTGATTTTAATTTTTCAAATTAGCAAAATAGTGAGGTATACTGTAGATGTTACAATGATAAAGTTATGAGGCACAGCTGGCAATGTTATGAGTTTGAATTTTCTCTGGAAAATTTAAACTCATAACAGGTTATGACTTTTTGACTTTAAAAAAAAAATTGATTTCCTGCGTCAAAAATTGATGAACTTTTATTAGAAAACATTGAAAACATGTTCAATTCCTTTCGGATGTAAAAAAAGGTCACCCTGAAATTCAAATTACATTGCGTCATTTATTTAATTTTGCTACTGCTACTACTAATACGTGTGACTTTCCTGCAAATCATTTAAAACTTGTATAGATTAGAAGTGTTAAGAACTTTAGAACATTTTAGAAAATATCAGAATATTTTAGAAGACTTTAGAACATTCTAGAACAAATTATAACATTCTAGAACAATTTAAAACATTCTGGAAGATTCTAGAACATTTTAGACTATGTATAGCTCCTCATCTAACTTTATAGTTATAACAGGAGCAACATAAAGCGTTGTATAAGCCTAGCAATAGTAGCATTCAGAAGAACAAGGATGTCTGGAACAATAATCTGGTAAAATTTGAAGACTCTTATAAAAGAAGAATGGTCCCTTTGGAAGAATATTCACTGGAAGAAAAGTGCAAAATGCCTCTCCAAAAGCAAATTATCGGATGCTACCATTTCCTTGGAGCAAAAATCAAAGGAAGAAAAGAGCAAATAACAGAAATTTCCAAAGAAGTTACCTAATTGTGGAAGAATTAACTGAATTTTTTTTAATTATTCACCTCCCCAAGGCTTTATAATGAAATTTATCACAGATAAATTTCATTATAAAGCATTATTAATAAAAAGAAAGTAAAATTTTCATCACAACATAAAAACTAGTTAGCCAAAAAAGTGCCAACCTCAGACACTGTCAGGTCAACTGTTAGTTTGCCAATATAGCTGAATGTTGACCTTAATTCAAAGAGCTAATATATATATATATATATATATATATATATATATATATATATATATATATATATATATATATATATATATATATATATATATATATATATATATATGTATATATATATATATATATATATATATATATATTTATATATATATATATATATATATATATATATATATATATATATATATATATATATATATATATATATATATATATATATATATATATATATATATATATATATATATATATATATATATATATATATATATATATATATATATATATATATATATATATATATATATATATATATATATATATATATATATATATATATATATATATATATATATATATATATAGACACTTGCTAAAGCGTATTTTTATAAGCATTTGCTCACTTTTTTTGCTTACCTTAACCCATAAGACTTTTTTAGAAAAAGAAGAAAAAAAACGAAGAATGATGAATGAAACGATTGCTGCCTTATCCCAAACCCTCAGTCAATGTAGCAGCACTCCACTGCGAGTCAGGCTATTTGTCAGTCGATGTATATACTAAAACCCCCAGCAGCAGGCTATTCAGTATGACGTTAAATTGCTTACCTTAGTACGCAATACTATTTGTATATATATATATATATATATATATATATATATATATATATATATATATATATATATATATATATATATATATATATTTATATATATATATATATATATATATATATATATATATATATATATATATATATATATATATATATATATATATATATATATATATATATATATATATATATATATAACAAACCTGTTGAACTCGAATCTGTAATTGCTGATTTTCATTTTTAAGGCGGTCACATTCATCTCGTAAATTACTATAGTTTGCTAAAAACTGCTCAGCATCCTAAAATAAAAACTGATAACTTAAAACTTTAATTACCAAAGAGATTGTTTCCTAGTGTTAATACTTGATTATTAATTTTAATAATTAAAATACTATTTAATAATTATAATTAAATACTAATAAAATATGTAGCTATATTAGGCTTGGTTGGGAAGCGGGAGCGATCTCTCTTGAATACTGACCACGGAAAGTATATTTAGTTGCGAAAAACTGGCCAGGTTTTTAAGTCGTTTTGAGAACATTTAAGTTTATGTACGAAACAAAAAAAAATTTGTTTTAAGGACATACATGGAAACATAAAAAACTTTAATTTTCTTAAAACATCTTGGTACGAAAGAATAAAAAGAATATTCGCAAACACTAAAAACCCGCTAAATTAACGAACAAACTAATTCTATTGGTTCAAAAAATACGCTGACTAAGCGAAATAAAGTTCTAGAGTATTCTCATGAAATGTTTTAGCAATTGTATTATTAACGATTTGTTACGTTTAGCATAAATTGTTTTAAGAATAAATATTATTTGTTTACAAAAATAAATGTTTTAAATATATATTAATTAAATTGTCAAAATTTTACAAGTTTATTATAAATTATAGATTTTATTAGCATATTCTTATTTTTTATTCAAAAAGTATGTATTCTTTATGTAAATGTAATTTTGTGTATCTGTTTTTTATCGTAATATCGTATCTTTTGAAGCAATTTTTATGATTTAAACAAAGACTTACAAAAATAATTGCGTATTTAATGAAGTTATAATCATTAAAGTTAATAAAACTAATTATGTAACAAACATATAAGAATTTTCTGTTTACTAAATACAAACAACGCATACAAAGTAACTTGGGGATAAACAAGCATTGCGCCTGAGGTCACGACAGAACACAAATATATATAGCAAATAATTAGATATAAAGAAAAGTTTCTAGATATTGGTTTACTAACTCTAATTATTTTCGCTTAAGTTGCCATTCTTTAAACTCGTTATACTTTTTTCTGCTTTAAATACTAATTAAAATTAAAAAGCCCACTCACTAAACATCATCAATGATATTGTGAAGCAGTTTCGCTTCCTTGTCATAAAGTATTTTTAACCTTTTTAGTTGATTTCTATCTTGTTAATTTAATTTCTATAGTAATTCAATGATTTAATTGTTTCATTTGTTTATCTTACTAAGAAGAATTGCTTCAAATATGTTAAACTTTTCAAACTACGCGAAACATAAAATAGGTATTAAAAAAATTAACTTTTTTTATTTATAAAATAATTTAGCTTTAATAAAACTAAAACTTGCAAACTTTGTTAAATAAAGAATATTTGCTTCCTTTTTTAAACAATCGTAAGATGTTACTTTATATAAAAAATATTGCTTAATTTAATGAAAAAAATTATAAAAGAGCAATGTTTCGAAAATATTTGTTCTAAAAGTAATTTATTTAGATTTAATTTTTTTCGCGTTTAAAAATATTTTATTTGCCTAATTTTTTTTTTTTTTTTGTAATCGTCTCTCATTGGTCCAATAAATCTTTGCGCTTTTTTTTTTTTCTTTTTAAAATGTTCTCAAAACGACTAAAAAATCTGGCCAGCTTTTCGCAACTAAATATTATTTACGTGGTCAGCAATCGAGAGTTATTGCTCCTGCTTCCCAACCAAGCCTGCTATATATATTACTATATAGTATTATTCTTTAACCATATAGTATTAACTATTAACTATATAGTATTAACCATTAACTATATAGTATTATTCTTTAACCATTTGATTGTAATTATGTTTTATAATTAATAAAAAGTTTTGAAGTAAAAAAAACTTGCTATTGGGGGTCATTGCATAATTACATAATGCCAAAAATGGCCATTTTTGAACCACCCACCCTGTTACATTTGGTCACATTTCCCTTGATCCGCCCACCCACCTCCCCTAGTGTGACATCATTTTATTATTGTTCACAAAATTAGGGTGATTGTTTGAAGCAAAAACTTCTGTTATCAAATGCATTTTTTTCATTCCTAGTAGTGGTACACTTTAAGAAATCACACATCTTTATTGATTGATTAAGAAAAGAAATCAGTTTAGATTAAAATGATTTTGAGAAGGATCAAGGGAATAACTCTGGAAAATGAAGAGATATAAACAAAAGAAAACTATACAATTTAAAATTATTTTTCTAAAACTCCATTAAATGCTTTTTTAAAAAAGAATCTGTTTAAATTATTTACAAAAGTTTTACCAAGTAAAATTGGTTCTTCCATACCAGTAATCCATGGAGAATCACCACGTTGCTCTAAAGGTACAACTTAAAAAGATCCAATCATTTCAAACTTCAGTTTCTAGTTCACAGTTTCTGATGAACAGACATATTTTTCTGGACTTTCTTTAATGTCTGCAAATTTGACTACTCCGATTAACATGGTGTTATTCATTTCTTTGTCTGCAACAGATGCAATGATGATTTATTTTGGTGGCAACTGTTGGAAAATTCAAGATCCACGATTGAGAATAATTGACAATACAGATCAAATGGGTATGGCTGTCTGAGTTTGACTTGAATCATAACATTCGGATGAAATCTTGAAATACATATTTATGCTTTATGTTATGAAGTTATGAGTATATCTTATGAAAAAGCAAAAGCACAGACATGGCAAAAATGAAGACTTACTGGTTTTATTAAAAACTCAATAAATATTTTCTAATTTTTAACATACACATCCTATCAATACAACATGAAGTTAAAACAAACTATTATCTACAATGGAGAACAATTTAAATGAGTACATAATTGAATTCCAAATGAGTATCAAATAGAATTCCATTCAATGCATGCAAAATTAATAATTTATAATTACAATCTATTATTCCAAAACTTGAGATCATATTCTTAAGATACCTTTAGTAACTTTAGAAATAATTTAAAAACCTTCTCGTAACATTCGTACCTTCTTCGCCTATTTATCTGGTTTTTTATTTAAAAAAACGTGTAAATACATTAACAATAATTATTGATTAAAAACTACTGAAATCATAAACGACTTGATGCCAAAAAATAATGCATTGTACCATTTTCCATAAAAGACATTTTTTTCCCTATATTATTCTCAAATTATTTATTCATTGAAAAATATAATCAATCTATAGGTTTTGTTGTATATCCAAAAAATATTTAAATTCAAATAATGTCATCATTTATCATATAAAGATTGTTGCAGTCAGTATTGCAACTAGTGTGATGTCACTTTTATCTTAACTCACCCACGTGAAGTTTTGTCACATTTTCAAGAAACCCACCTACTCTTGAGTATGACATAATTATGCAATAATCCCATGTTTGACAAGATGCTGGAAGAAAATTATTTTTTTTTAAAAGTTCAATCAGCTTGAATATATAATCAGTTTTTTGTTCTTTAAAGTAAAACTGATGTTGCTTAAAAAATTTAAGATTTAAATCTATTAGACATACACTTAACATGATTGTGATCATCATGATCATCATCATGGTCATCATTATGATCATCATCATGATAATGATCATGATCATTATGATCATCATCATGATGATCATGATGATGATCATGATGATCATCATGATGATCATCATGATGATCATGATGATGATCATGATGATCATGATGATGATCATGATGATGATCATGATGATGATTATGATGATCATGATGATGATTATAATGATTATGATGATGATCATGATGATTTTGATCATGATGATCATGATGATGATCATGATGATCATGATGATAATTATCATGATCATCATGATCATCATGATGATCATCATCATGATCATCATGATCATCATCATGATCATCATCATAATCATCATGATCATCATCATGATCATCATAATCAAATACTTACAAATAACGCTGTTTTGTCCACCTCGTGGTTTTCTGAAGACATAATATTTGTTGAATCCATTGAACAATTTTCTTTATATACTGAACAAAAATTTGTCAAATAAATAACATAACATTAAATAAAATATAAATACTTTAAATAAAAATCTAACCAATTCTTTTTAAAAATAAAATACAAATATTAAAGCCATAATTTTAAGATTGTTTTAAAAAAAAAAAAAATTTTAATCAAAAAATATAGTCATATTTATTCATATACCCAAGACAAAAAAGGCTACTACATTCAAGACAAAAAAAACTAATACAAAGGGGGCTACTATAGCCAAGGAGTGAATTATAATCAAAACATTTCTCAACTCAACAATTGACAAAATTCTTTCTTTAATTCAAATATTAATCAATTTGGTTATGATTTTGAACATGGCTGTTTTGTGAATATATTTGTATAACTTGTCACATTTTTGAGTTCCTTTTGCAGTCTAACTTTAGTGGTTTATTTGTAATTAAACCATTTGTATCAAATGAATATAAGATAGAATCATTGTTATTAAATCATCTGCCTCATATGAAGATGAAGTAGTATCATTGTTCATATTATGCTTTTTGATAAACATTTATTCTTTCCTCAATATTAACAGTAAAAGAAATTGAAACATTTTTAAAGAATATTTAAAATGATTGTTAAAACTTTGTGAATCTTTTAAACTGGATCTTTTCACTTATCCATCCTTTTTTATCACTTATCCATCCTTTTTTATTCACTTATCCATCCTTTTATCCATCCTTGATAGCTTGTAATGCATTATTTTTCTACAAAAATTTGTAAACTCTTTCTAGTGGTATGAGATTTGCAATGTGAGAACTTCAATATTTATTTCTTAAATAGAATTAAAGTGAAATTTTACTAAAGATTTGGTAATGCATTTTGACAGAATTAAACTTTGTCATACCATTACACTTAAGGAGTTGCATCAAGTTTTTATTTCTATTATAAAACTTTTGAATATCTTTGTAAATAGAATGCTTTTGTAGCTGATTTATATTTTTTTTCATTTTATACATCTTGATCAAAATCATTAACTAATGTCATAACACATTCCTATTCTTCAAAAAACTCTAAATTGCAATTAGAATACTTCTGTTGAACCTTTATTTAATTTTTCTATATCTTCTACAAAAAAATATTTGGTATCTTCCAACACCTACTTTTAGAATATTATCTTTAATATATATATATGAAAGTATACAGCTATATGCAGAGGATGATTATGGGAAATTGATTTAAAACACCTTACAGATTGCCATACCTTTTCATTAGAGCTGCTGCATTGTTAGTTGATGCAACAACATCATTTTTTTTTTTTAAATCCTGAAGTCTGCCAACTTAAATTTAACCAAATATTAATTTTTTTTCTTTATTTTCATGCTTATGACTTTACCAATTTTTTTATTTCCTGAAAAAAATTTATATCCTAGATTTTTTTTGAAATGGCTAAAAATAAAAAATGAAAAGCTATAAATAAAAATAGCAATGTAACTAAAAAAATATCACTAATTTTTATTTACCAATTTATACAACCACAATTTGTATTTTTATCATTTCAAATTTTGTAAACATTAGAAAACTATTTATCATTTTGTTATTATTTCAAATAAGAAATATACATGAATTCTGTGATCTTTGCTTAAACTTAATTAATAATATATTTAAACACAAAATTATGATGCTATATACAACTGCATGCATGTATAACTTAAGTTACATGCATATATAACTTATATAAATATATAATATATACATATATATATATATATATATATATATATATATATATATATATATATATATATATATATATATATATATATATATATACATATATATATATATATATATATATATTATATATATATATATATATATATTTATAAAGTAGAAAATAAAACTACGTGATTTTCACAACTTTAAGTTTCATGCTGTTGCAATCATCAGGTGAAATATATATATTATAGCTCTAAAAAACTATATATATATATATTATAGCTCTGACTTTATATTATATAAAGTGCTATAATATAATTATAACTATATATATATATATATATATATATATATATATATATATATATATATATATATATATATATATATATATATATATATATATATATATATATATATATATAAAATTACATACTAGCACGGAACTTAGGAATTAGGAATGTTTCTTGGTATAGGATATTCAATTATACAGTAAATTTAAAAAATATAATACTTAAAATATTAAGTATTATACTTTTTAATTTATGTTTTTAATTTATATATTTTATGTATCAAATATATTTTAAATTTAAAAAATGATAAAAACTTTAGAAAATTTGATAAAAAACAATACCAATAAAGAAAAAGAGTGCTAATTATAAAATAAATTAACAAATTAACAATTAAATATAATCTGCACACACACACACACAAAATAGCTAAACATAATAAAAAAAATAGCAATGACATTAAAAATTGTGTAAATAAACAAACCTTTCATTACTCATTAGTTGTCAATAATCATCAAAAATTAATTAATTTCTAGTTTTGTTTCTAAATTAAACAATTCAATTTTTAAAAGAAATATTAAAATGTAAAAATAAAAATTCAGCATGCATAAATTAAAAAAAACAAAAAAAAAACTCCATGTTGATTTAGTAACATATAAAAACATAACAATTTTAGGGAATTTATGCATCCCGGTTTTTATTGCCAATAAAAACGAACTGTGCTTATTTTAGTCATTGCCAAAACCCACGAGTCATTATCTCACTGATCCAATTTATGATCATTTACAACTATCCCTAGGTTTATAAAAAAAAAAAAAAAAAAAAAGATTTAAAAAAAATACTGTTAAGTTAATACTTATTAAAATACTTTTTCTTAATCTATCTTAAGATTAGTTTGTTATTAAACTACCCAAATATATTTGACCAGGTTACACAAATAGAAAGCAAAACTGAACAAGTACTAAGTTAATAATAAATAATTAATAAAGTTTTAATTAATATTAAATAATCATAAATATAATGAGTTTCACTTCAAAAAAAAAATCTAAATAATTGAATATTTCATTTTAAAAAGAAAGCTAAAACTAAAAATCATTAGATACCTGATCCGTAGCTAAGCTGCCCAACAACGCTAATTTGGGTGTGGGGGTGCTTATTTAAGTGTCCCTTTTAAAAATTTAAGGACCTTTTTTTTTTAATACCTAGTGGATTTTAAATAAAAGCTATAAAAATGAAAAGCAGAATATTTCAGGTTAATTGCTGAATAAGTAAAAAATCTCTCTTGTGAACGACAAAAATCCTAAAAATATAAAAGTTTAGTTAACTGAGTTTAACTAAGTCAATTTACTGCATAATATTTAAGCCTTTATTGTGCATATACTAAGTTTATACTAAATTTAAATTAAAAAAAAAAAAAAAAAAAAAGAATTAGAAAAATAGAATTTTGACTTGAAGAAAAAGAACAAAAATTAAATAATAATTAAAAAAAAAATAATAATAAACAAGAAAAAATGAAAATAAGAATTACAAGAATAAAAGAGAAAGATTTTTGTATAAATTATTTAATTACACTTTATTTTGTAGTTATTTATTATTGTTTACTTTTACTTATATTTATCTTTGCAAATTTTATTTTTTATTATTAACTTTATTTTTAAATATACTTATTTTATTTGTATTTAGTAATGTTTCACCTTTCTACAAGTTGACAAATAAGTAGCCTATGATTTATTAAATGAATATTTAGTAAATCATAAAGCTATTTTTTTTTTCTGATTTTATTTTATGTTGTCATTTATTAAAATTTAGAATATAGATTGGAAAAATACCTAAACTATGTTTTTAGGCACATGATGTTTTAAAGATATTATCTTGTACATGCTTGCAAAAAGAAAGAAACCACCAACCAGATGGACACAGAAGATAGAAAAGGTTAGCTTAAATTAATTGCATCTGTTAAAATAGAATTTTAAAGTATCTGCTAAATTATAAAGCTGTCAACTCTGTCATAAAAAGCTCAAATGTCAATTCTGAATAATTATTATATAGATTGATTGGATTTGTAAGAAGCGCAAGTCTGACATTGTTATAATTGAGATTGATGAGAGCTCTTCTACCTCTCTAGAAAACACATTAAAGATCTGCTCTAAATGTCTGTCAATAATAGGTAATATAAACAGAAGATTTTAAAATATTACATGATATTGGTATTGTCTAATTTTCGTAAACAATATTTATTTAGGTTGTGGCTTAGAGCACAAATGCTGCAAATCAACTGCTGTAAAAAACCTTACATCATTGGCATTGGAACAAGGTATGCACAGTGCAGAGCAAGTGGCTTCTTCAATAATCAAGGAAAAAATGAACAAAGAAAAATTAAATTCAGGAGATCTATTTTATTTAGCCACCTGCGGAAAACCGCAGATAATAAGAGTTGGTCGTCCTGAGAACAAAGGAGACAAATCAAATCCAGCAAATCTCTTTTGAAACATTCAAGCAACTTCGACTAAATCTTGATCTTTCAAACAGAGGAACTAGAAAACTGATTTCTACTCTTAACAAGGCCACAGGAAAGAGAGTTGAAAGTGAGAGAGGGTTAAATCCTTATAATACCATTGTACGAGTTTCAATTGATGGAGGTGGATGGAGGAGGTTCATTGAAAATATGTGTTAACATCTTTGATGCAGATGAACTTAAAGTTAACAGTAATAAAATAAAAAACAGAAGTAAATGTCGGGGATATGACAAATATATTGGGTCTGGTGTGCATCGTATACAGTTTATTGCTGAAGATGTTCCAGAAACATATTAGAATATAAAACAAATTTTAGATATTATCCAGCTAGACAGCCTAGGTTTTCATATTGCATGGGATTTAAAGTTGGCTAACATAATTATGGGTTTATCTGGCCATGGTGGCATCCATGTGAAAGTGAGAACTATAAATGCAGGAACTCTAAGAACATTTGGAAGCCTTGATCTTCATCTTTCAGAGTACCAAGCAGCAGGAGAAAAAAAAGAAACAGCACAGCTGTACAAAAATGTTATACGAAAAAGGCTTATTCATCTTGATAAATAAAGTCAAAGTAATAAACAAAATTCCTCCATCATCGTTACATATATTTATGGGTTTTATTAATGTTCTTAGCGACCTAGTTTTTACTCTCAGGCCAAACTTTAACCAGTGGCTGTCTGGAAAATACATTCTCAGACATGGCTATCATGGAGGAGGGTTTGATGGAGTAAACTGTAACAAAATATTGAATAATCTTCAAGATCTAGAAGATGCATTCCTAAATAATTGTCAACAGCTAATACCTATTATAACATGTTTCAAAGATTTAAAGTGTGTCATGGATGACTGTTTTTGTGATTTCCTTAGTCCCAATGTCAAGCATTCTATTGCTAGATTGAAAGACTCATATAATTACCGAATAGAGTTTTCAAAAGGCTATAATTACACCTTACCCATAACATGGAAGGTCCACATCATGTTAGCGCATATTGTTCCTTTTTGTGAAGAAAATCAATGTGGTCTAGCATGATTTGCAGAACAAACTAGAGAAGCTATTCAATCTAAGTTTAAACCAACTTGGACAAGATACAAAAGAAATGTAAGTCACAAAGACCATGGAAAGAACTTGCATAAGGCAGTTTCAGACTTCTCATCAAGACAAAGATAGTAACTTAAAGACAATATTAATTAACTTTATAAATACTATGCAATAACTTAATTATATAAAGATCTGTAAAAGTATTTAGCTTTATATAATTTTCTATAAAATTTGTCTTCTACCTACAAATCACTAAAATCAATCTTTGAAAAAAATAAAGATAAAAGATATATAAATTTAGCATAAAGTTATTAAAAAAATCAAATATATTTTGGTGAATAAAGTTATATATTATCATTATTATTCGAGGAAGATGGAAAGGAGAGGGATGTAAATAAAAAATTTATATATATTTCTATCTTTTATGCTAGATTTATATTTTATATAAAAATTATGGCAAGTAGAGGGTCAAGGCCCCTCTACCCTCTTATTATTAATAATCTCAATAGGATTTAAGACCCCCCCTCCCCAGTTTAAAAATGCACCTTTGGATTTTTAAAATATTTAATTTTTAATATTCTAATAAATATCTATTTGATGGCATATTTTTTCTTTAATTTTAATAAAGTTCAACCTGAGGGTCGATTTATGACACAGTGTATATTCATATTTAGACATCATTAGTTTTACTTTGTGATTTAGTTAAATCTTATATAGTAAAATGTTTTCTAAATATAATATAAATAAAAAGTTTTCTATAAAACTTTTTGCAAAGACTGCCTTGACAAATGCTGAGAATGTCTCCAGGTGGAAGTTTAAGGGGTTTTTGTCAATCCTTACATACACCTGTGCAAGTAAGTATTCACAAAATGAAACTGTGAATTTATTACTATTATTAAAATTAATTACTATATAATGATATTTACTTAAGATTAATTGCAAGTTATTTATTAACAACTTTAAATTTGATATCTTTTGCCAAAATATATTGATTGATTGTATCACAAGGTTAATACATCACATCCCTCATAGAAACCAACATCCTTTTAATTACATAATAAAATGACATTAGTAATTCAATTTTAATTGGCTTTTGCACAGTAATCTCCTACATAAAAAGGAGGATATTATACACCTTATGCTACATTTTTCTTTGTGAGTTTGTACAAAAAATATTTAAAAAAATAGATATATTAGTGATATATTACTAAAATTAAGAGTGTATACGAATACTACACCGTACCACACCGAACCACAATGGAGTATAAAAAACAATCTTAGTAGAGCGAAATATTTTTATACTAAATAAATGTATTAATATTGTTATACTAAATAAATGTATTACATAAATGCAATAAAAATTTATACAAAAACTATTTTTTTTAAATTTAAGTTTTTATAACAATTTTAATTGCACCCACAGATAAAAATATATATTTTAGTCAGAATTTTAAGCATACGTGCATCTCATTCACACGCTCACACCCCTATCACATATTAATGTTTTCGATTTTTTTAAAAAAGAATTAATTTTCATAAATACATGTTTGGATTTAAGCAGAGCGGTAGGCTTTTTTACGAGATTTGTAAGTCATTCTTTTGGACTGCTTGCCCTAACCAAAAACCCTTTGCACTTGCATGTACACTCCACTGCGCCTGTCTGTATTTTAGTCAGTCGAAGTATGGACACTCTACTGTGTCTGTCCTTATTTTAGTCAGTCGAAGCATGAATACTTTACAGTGCCTGTTGCTATTTTTAATTTAAATTTAATTTTTTTTTTTAGTTTTTTACATTTTTATTGTATATATGTATCACAAATATAACTTACCTATGTTTTGCTCATAGTAATTTGCAAAATTAAAGATATAAGGAAAATAATGTCATTGAATTTTTGTTACTAAAACCACAATGAAGTTTCTTAAATGATTCCAGTGCAAATCTATTAGTTAGAGTCACAAAAGCATAGCATTTTAAATAAAATTTAAATTTATAATGGAAAAAAAAATCTAAAATATAGATGTTTGGGTATGAGAAAAAAAATTCTTGAACTTTATATTACTTTAAATTTATTTTATTTTATATTTTAAACTTTGTATATTTATTTCTTAATGATTATTATTTAGTTTATTTTTCAATGTTTACTAGTTTAATATAAGCGGTTTATGTACTAAAAATCAAATTAAAATTAAATAACTATTCATCTTATAGTTTTTTTAATTAAAAAAAATATACATATTAAATATATGCTACATAACATTATCTGCATTCGTAAATGTTATAAAATTATGTACTTTTATATATTCTAAAGAAATGTTATTATGTAAACAAAAAACTTGATTCAATAAATATTTTATTAATAAAATAGTTCATACATACAATACATATTATATATATAAAATCATTAAAAACAGATTTAATAACTTCATTAGATAACGCAAAGTGCAAATATTACTCCATTTAATGTCAATTTAGAGGGCTAATGTTTTTCTTTACCCGTTCCTAAAAAGCAAGCAAGTTTTCATTCAATGTTATAAAAGAAAAATAATGTTGTTACACGAGGTACGAAAAAAACTAAACGGAAACCCAACTTTTCAAAGGATTTTGCTCTTACTGTTTTTGTTTACAGTTTGTTACATTGAAATGCTAAAGTCCCATCAGCCTAAATACAAAATTGAAAATATATTTAAGTATGTAATTTATTAATTAATTAAAAAATAACTGTTATTTATACTTTTATATCAGACAATACATTTTAAACAAACTGTTATAATTATTTAGGGGCGGATCCAAACTATCATGTAAGGAGGGGGGTGGGGTGGGGTCACGGTTTTTAACTTCTTTTAGCGACTCTATAAATCATATACCTTTAAAGTTAATTTATATTGTTGAAACTGTTTCTGCAATCAGTAATGTCTATATCGTCATTCTAGGGGGAATTACATCCATCCTTACTAATTTTTCTGTTGTTTTTATTTTGTGTGACCAGGTGCAATATCCAATCACTCACAAGTTGTTTCAAATTATTAAGTCATGTCCTGGAAATGACTCCAGTGCTTAACGTAGCTTCTCAACTCTACAGAAAGTTAAAAGCTGGCTAAGAACACGAATGAAAGAAAACAGACAGAAATTTCCGTAAATGCCGAAAACGTAGTTGACCGTTTTTCATAGTCGGGAAATTTTTAAATTAGAACTTGTAGTTTAAGTTGTTGAAATAATCCACTAGTCAAGGTTAAATACGTTTTTATTTAAACAACTTTTAATTTAAAGATAACACTCTCGTCAAATAGCTGTGTTTCAATAAACCTAAGTTATAAAAATATTTTAACATTTTAGTTAACAATGCATGCTTTTTTTGATAAAGGGATACAAAAAAAAAATAATTCATAAAGAAAGTTTTTTCTAAATTTGAAAGGAATGGGGGTAACTCCCCCATCTCCCCTTCCCTATAAATCCGCCGTTAGAATGATAGTGTTTTTTTCATGGAATTTTGTCACTTATTAAACTATAAAACTGTAGTATATCTTTAATATATATAACTTATATAAGTAAAAAAAAAAGTTAAAAGATTATTATATCAATCTTATATACTTATTCGTTTAATTTTTATTATAGAAAAATTATGAATAGTGCTCTCGAAATTTGTATTTTTGTGTTATAGTATAACATTGTGTTATAATGTAACATTTTGTGTTATAATATAATTTATATGGATACTTTTTATAATTAGTATTGTTTCTATTTGTATGATAATTGTTCATGTTATTATCACTATTTTTATCCTCATTGAATTAGACAGGTGTTTCCTTCATATTCGTATTTGTTTCTACCTGTAAAATTATTTGTATATATTATATTATATATTATATAAATAGATTCTACATGTAAATATTATTTGTTTTTGAAAATATATAATGATGATTGTTGTTAGAAAAAAAATATTTATATATATATTTTTGAAGAAAGAACTTTATGCAAAATATATATTTGATTTGATAATATTGCAAGACTATTGAGTTTTAAAGCACTTGTTGTAAAACAAAAATAGTTTTGCAGTAAGCCTTATTGAAAGTAGTTGTTCAAATTATTCTTTGCAAAAATGGAATATTAGGTACAACATTTTCCAATCTATACTGTTAAATAAATTTTAGTAATTCAAGAGGACTTTGACGTTTGTCAATATCTTCAACTCTTTTCAAATTGTTTAGCTGCTACAACAGCGTTTATTAGCGCATCTTTTTAGGATGGTGGTGGTGAAGGGGGAAGGGTTTTAAGAGGTTGCTCCATGTCTGGAAGTTAGCTACCTCAAAAACCAAAAAATGCTGGATCCGCCCATGGTAACAGCTAGCGTCAGCACAATTCTAAATAACTTTAACACTTATTATTGAGCACGTGACAATTATTGGAGTTTTTGAAAATTCAGTAAATCAAAAATACAGTGGGTCAACGATTTAGTAGGTTGGAAAATTAGTAGTACATGTTTTAATCAATTAAAAACATGTGCTACTAATTTTCCGATAGTAGTACATGTTTTAATTAATTAAAACATGTACTTCTATTAGAAAATTTTGGGGGCCCTAATTGCATATTTTGGGGTTGTCAGACTAATGTGAAAATTATTGATACGTTTGGTGGCCTATAACTCAAACTATTTTTAATGTTTATTATTTACACCTAATTAATTAGGTGTAAATATAAAAATGTGTAAAAAATTGTCGGTTGAAAACCAAAAACGCTATAATCTACAATATACGAAATTTAAAAATTAGGTTGAGTAATAGGCCACCAAACATGTCAATAGTTTTCACATTAGTTTGACAACCCTAAAAACTGCAATTAGGGCCCCAAATATTATTTCAATAGGTGTTACTAAAAAAAATGCTTGTTAAATTTGAAAAAGGGTCCTTAAACTTCTGTTAACTAAAATTGCTAGGTCCTAAATTAGGGAGACTAGATACGGCTCTGCTGACAACATACCTCCTGATAGGATACGGCAGCTAATACTTCATCAAAACGACTTAAATTCAATTTAAAAGTAACTTGCAAACTTATATTTATGTCATTTTGATAAAGATTATAATTTTTTCACATTTGTCAACATTCGAATAATATTTTTGATTATCGTGATCAAATGTTTAAATTGCATTAAAAAGAGCATCATTTTTTACAAAACGTCTTTTAAACTCTGCAACAAATCTATCCAAAACGCCGTAATATGATCTTTTAATTTCTCAAAAAAACTTACGGACTCATTTATTACATATATTTTCCAGTTGTTCTGTTTGGTAAATATTTTTTTAAAAAGTACAAAACTTTCTGTGATTTAGTTGCTTTAGATGATTGTTCACTAGATTTTGTAATCAAAATCAACCTCAATATCCACAGATGTTGCAAACTCTTTTGACTTTTGGGTACGCTAAAGTATTAAACTTTTTAATTGAAGCAGTTCAGATGTGTTGATTTTTGATATGTGTAAATGTAAGATGAATAACGGCGTTTTGAACTTTTGTTAATTATTCTATACGATTATAACAAAAAAATTGCTACTATTCTTTTTAGTGATACCATCGTCTCATATACCATACTCTGATATCCCATGTACCTTTGAGCAGCCATACAATCAAAGTACCTTAGTTTTTAAAAAAAAACTAAGATACTTTGATTTTTTCAGCTATTGTCTTTTCAACCTTGAAACGTCATTTTGGTAATCGTGGAACATGTAATGTCTATAGAGACATTTAACTTTATCTTCAGATCTTCATCTGTTCCCGCAAACTCATTTATTAGTTCGCAAAAATTTCCTTTGTTTTCTGATTCTCCGATTTCATTGCAATTACGAAATGCAAAATCTTAACAAGCAAGGAATTTAGTAGCACAAAGAAGTGAGTTGATATGACTTTGTTTTCTTCTACTTTCTTTGATCTAACGAAGAAGGAGAAGATTGAAGTTTATTGACTTTATAATCAATATAGAAATAGATGGTTGAAGTTTATTTGATATTGACATCAACTGAATACAATTGAGTGTTTGTGACGTAAAATTTCACTATGTTGCTCAAACAATTCTTTTATATCTTTATATTTCAAAAAAATCTTTATTAATGAATATACTTTTTCAATTTTTCTTACGTTTGAATGTTCAATTTTCCAGCAAACCGTTGGCATTAGCGTTAAAAAGAATGCTAAATTTTTTTAAAGCAGTATTCTAGTAAAAAAAGCCAAACCAAAATGTCTCTTTGTAGCATCAAAAGAATATACTTTAATACTAGACTGCATAGGAGGATTGTATTTCAATCAATTTATATCAATATCCATATGCGAAAGTAAAGATTTGAGGTGAGTAGTACTGTTGTAACCAGCGTCTTCTCTCTCATATCTTCTCTCTACGTGTAGATTATCTGTGTTATTTGTAAAGTTAATCCATCTTCTGCGGTTTGTAATGTTGCAAGCTCAATGCGAGTTTTCTTAGTAAATGCAAACATGTTTAAACTAGTTTGTCTCAACTGTTCCTGGCATGAATTAACTACAGTGTAAAAGCTATTTATAAAGATAGTTTAAATATAGTTTTACATATTTTAAATATAAAAAGGAGTTTAGATATGAAAATTAATACTTTACTTAAATTAGAAAATTTGAAATAACTAACAACGATTTTTACTTTGTTATGAAATTTGTAGTAGAGAATTTAGCTGATAATTTTTTTATTTTTGTTTTCAATTTTTTGAATTTTTAGAATTTAGCCGGTTCTTACTATTCAACACAGACAAGTGGAAACAAATCCACACACAGCTACACAATAGAATAAGAAGATAATAAAAAACATCATCAACTACAAGTCACTATTACTGAGCGTGACCTTGGTGTGTTTGTTTCAGACGACCTCAAAGTCAAAGAACAGATTGATTTAACAGTGTCAAAAGCAAACATAATGCT